GTACCTGCCCCCTGGTGGATAAGGCTAGACTACAGGCTTATGCAGGTTTCTTCCTCCTTCCAGGAGTGCCTGCCCACTGCTGGGTGAAGCTTGTTCCTGGACCTCTGGTGCCTAGGGGTATGCCTAGAGGCTCAGGAAGTCCGCTGATGGGTGGGGCTGTGTTCCCACCCAGTATGTTGTTTGGCCTGAGGCTTCCCAGCCCCTGAGCCTACAGTCTGTTGGGTGGGGGTGGGGCTAGGTCTTGGTGCTAAGATGCAAGCAAGATGTCAGCCTCCAGGAAAGCTCATGTAGATGAACACTCCCGAAATACCCACCAGCAGCTTTTCTGTCCCCTGGGTGAGTCGCAGCCATCCCCCAAGTCTCCAGCAGCCCCTCCAAAACCAGCAGGCAGGTCTGGCCCAGGTTCCTAGGAATCACTGCCTCTGCCTTTGGACCTGGCACACGTGAGATTCTGTGTACCCTTCCCAAGAGAAGGAAGTCTGTTTCCCCCAGTCCCGTGGGGGTCCTGGAGTTAAGCCCCACTGGCCTTCAAAACCAGACGTCGTGGGGTCTCCTCCTCCCAAGGTCAGAGCCCTGGGCTGGGGAGCCTGACGTGGGGCTCAGGACTCTCAGTTCTGTGGGCAGGCTTCTGCGACTTAATTATTCTTCAGCTTGGGGGTCGCCCACCCCAGGGGTATGGGGTCTGTTTACATCGCGAGCACACCCCTCCTACCATCCCAGTGTGGTTCCTTCTTTATGTTTCCAGTTGAAGATAATCTTTTTTGCTAGGTTCCAGTCTTTTTCTTCCCCCAATAGTTGTTTAGCAGTCACTTGCGGTTTTGTTGTAGTCGCAAGGGGAAGTGAGCTCGTGGTCCTACTGCTCCGCCGTCTTGCCTAGAAGCCCTGGGAGCCTGCCTCTCCCCTCATGGCCAGCTGCCTCCTCACAGGTCCAGCCCTCTCCCAGTTACCGCCTTGACCACCTTTACATGTCACCCCTGGGGGCAAGGCCAAGTGTCTCCTTGGATGTTGGCCAAGGTCCTTCTCTGAGGAGTCGTCATCCAGCCTAGGGATCTGTGCAAGTCTCAGAGGCTAGAGGAAGGCCAGCGTGCTGGGCCCAGCTGTCATGTCTGTCAGCTGTGGAGGGAATTATGCGTGTGCTCCCCTCCCTGAAGGCCAGGTCAATGTCTCATTCAAGCATCTTTTGGATAGGTCCTAGCCCACAGCAGGCATCAAAAAATGTTTACTGCATGAATGAATGGACAAGTGAATGCCCTACTAGGCTCTCCAGAAAAGTGAAAACGCTCTAGGCCTCTTCTGCACGAGCCACTCTGGCCACCGGGAGGCTCCCCTCCCCACACAAACAATGAAAAGCTTGCAGCAAGATCCCAAAGTGCAGGAGAGGTGGCTGTGCCTGGAAGCCCCAGTCCCTTGTGGACAAGGACGACTCTTCTTGGTTCAGAGCTGCGGGCGGTTCTGCCTCCAACATCTTCACCAAATCTGCTCTCAGCCAACACCTCTGGCTACGCCTCCACAGTCTGCAGGTTCCGCAGTTGCTCCACATTCGCCTTTCCGTTCCCCTGGTGGCCGGACCTGTGTGTGGGCAGGTGGGGCACAGAGGACTGTCGGGAGCCCTGCGGATGGGGACGGCCTCGCTAGAGGCAGACTCCACTCGCAGAAGCCTCCGGCTGGCAGCACTGCAGTCCTGCAGGGTCTCTGGCCAAAGCCCGGGCCCAGGGAGATGCTCAGGCCCAGGCCTCTGGAGCTGCCCCAGCAGTGAGCCCTCAGGCTATGCCTAGACCAGCAGGGCAGCCACTCTTCCCTCTCGCAGGTGAAGGAACTCAGGTGGGCGCCCAGGAAGTGACAATCGGCTCAAGGAGCATGTTGGGAGCTGCTGGGTGCCGGGCCTACCCTGGCAGATCCCCCAGCCTCTCCATCTTTCTTGCCTCCTCTCCATCCTTTGCCTCCCCTTTCCATCCCAGCTCACTTCTCTCTTTCCCTGCCCTGGCTCAGCTCCAGGTTGGAGGCTGCCAATAGCTGAATCAGCAGAGAATGAAAGCTCGAGGCAGAGGAAAGCCAGCCCAGGTCAGTGAACCCCTCTGACGTAGTTGACAAGAAGACAGTCATGGGACCCTACCTACCAATGGAGGGGAACCAGCCCCGTGTCCAGCCCCCACTAGAACGAAAAGGAAAACAGGCCCAGAAAGGGCCGGACGCCTGTTGAAGGTACAGAGGCAGGCAGAAGAAGAGCAGGCCCGAAGGCCGGCCTCCCAACTCAGCCCGGGGCGCCTCCTGCACCAGGCTGTGGTCAGATCTGCAGAAACTGCCAGGCTGCCCAGGGCTTCTGGGCTGCGCTCCAGGGAAGCACAGCCTGCAGGCCACCTGTGAGCACAGCCACCACCCTCCTGAAGCTAGGGCAGCTCCAGAATTTCCACATCAAAGAGGAGCTTAGGGAAGGCATCTGAGGGGAGTGGTGGAATGGGGGGCTCAGTAAAGCAGAATAACTTGATAGAGAAGAAATGGATTCTAGGGGGACACACTACCTGGATTTAAATCCCAGCTCTGCCATTTATTAGCTGTGTGACTTGAGCAAGTTACTTGACCTTTCTGTGCCTCGGTTTCCTCATTAGTAGAATGGGGAATATTAGTGTCCACGTCATTAGGTTGCTGAAATGAGGTCACATACACAAAGAGCTCAGAGCAGTGCCCCGCACAGTAAGCCTGAGGGAGTGACAGCACTGTTACTGTCTTCATGCTGGGACGGCACAGCAAGCAGACACATTTGTGGTCACTCAGGGACTGGTGGGGAGGCTAAAGTACCACCAGCACCCCTCCACCCAGAGCCCAGCTTGAATGGGCTCTGCTGGGTCCCAGACGTCCTGCCTGTGGCCAGGTCAGCCGGAGCAGGGAGCAGGGTAGCGGACGGCTGTCTCTGCAGGCCTGGTTCCCGGCCCTCGGCTGGGCAGCCCTCACCTGGCGGGCTGGAGGAGCTGCTGGCACACACAGCCATTCTCTTTCTGGCCACCGCCTCCATCCTGCACTTCAGGCTGCTCGGCCAGCCCTGTTCCCACCTCGGCCGGGGCCACACTGTGCTGCGAGGACTCCGCCAGCTGGGCGAGGACCCCTAGGTCCCTAGGCAGGACATGACCTGTTAACCCTGGCCTGCAAGCCCTGGGTGCCGCCCCTTCCCTGGGAACTGGTGAGCCGCTTGCCCTGCAGGGGGCGCCCCTCTTCCCCCAGCAGCTCAGTGGGAGCAGCAGATGCAGTCAGGGCTCAGGGCTCAGCTTGAGAACCACGGCTGGGTTTCAGTCCAGGCGAATGATGCAGGCTGGCCCTCCGCCCTGTCCCACGTTGTAGTGGAGCTTAGGGAAGTGCCCAGTGCCCGTCCAGAGCCCATTATCTGCAATTCCTCTTTCCGATCCCAGCCCCTCCAGAAAGCCTTCCTCAAAGGCTGGGCCAGAGCCCCTCGCCCCTTCCCATCCACCCAGCCACTACGATTTTCCACGCACACTGTGTTCTGCTCCTCTAAGTACACACCCAAAGCCCACCAAGCCCAAGGCCAAGAGGCCCCGAGATTGGAGGGAAAAGTCCATTCTGTTCCTTCCCTTACCACTCCAGCCCCGCAGGACCAGTGCTGGAAGGCGCCATATATAAACCAACACTCTCATTTCAGAGAGAGAGAAACTGAGGCCCAAGGAGGCCTGGGACTGGTCCAGAGTCACTTGGGGAGATAGTAATAGAGCCAGGTCTGGAAACCAGGTCTCCTGCCCACGACCTGGAGTGGCCTTTCTTCTGCCAGCTGCTCTGAAGCAGAATCCAGTCCTGTAGAGCAGGTATTCAGAGCATTCCGCCTTCCCCAGCCTATCCAGGGGAGCTCCCCGCATTCGGCCCTGCCTCTACCCCGTCGCCAAACACCAACAGAAAACCAAGGTACGGGTTCTCAGCAAGGGAGGGAGGGATGACCTAGTGGGCGCCCCTCGGGCTGCTGAGAGGAGACTTAACTGACCTCACTTCCTCGTACTTCTTGTCTCGGTAAAAGTGGCTCTTTTTGATGAAGTAGATGAGCACCAGGTCGCAGAAGAAAGACCCCTGCAAAAGAGTCGGGGTCCCTGACTCAGAATCGACTTCCAGAGAGCGCTCGGCTACTTGACACAAACCACACCCCGTTTGACCCGACAACCCCTGAGGGGGCATCATGGTCCCCATCTCAGGGACACTGGGCTCAGAAAGGGGCGCCTTTGTCCAAGGCCACAAAGCTGGTCCCTGGTAGAGCCAGAGTTAGCCTGCAGCCCAACTGATCCCTCAGGCCAAGCAGCCCCGCGCTCCCCTGACCCCACTGAGTCAGGTCTTCAGCCAGCGTCTGCTGAGCATCACGGGTGCCAGGTACTGCCCTGGGGTGCAGGGAGGAGTGGGGACCGTTCCTCTGGCACAGGAGACAAGCACATAAATTACGACCCAGAGTGACACGTCCTACGATGAGGAGAGGTGCAGAGGAGCAGAGAGAAGACGGGACTTTATTCTGCCCGGGGAGGTACATCTGGGCTGAGTCTTGAGGGCTGAACAGGATTTTATAAAAGGGAAAAAAAGCTCAGGAAGGACGCTGCAGAGGCAGCACAAGCTCGTCATGCCTCGGAGTAGGGGCGGGACAGAACTGTAGCACTTCAGGAGCTCTCTCCAGTAGTCAGTGAGAGGTGGGTTGGAGGGCATCTGAACAAGGACACAACGGCAGTGGTCAAGGAAAGGTGAGGCCTGAGCTAACCCAGCGGACCTGCGGGCACACCTGAACACACCCTCTTCAGACCAGAGTAGGTGGTGCAAATACCAGTCTCCTCCACCAGAGGGCGACTCCACCCTCACAGCACAGAAGGGAGGGGCAGAGTTTCCTGAAAGTCTGAGGAGAGGGAGGGGGTGCTAGGGGGTTGATGGGATGGCCCCACGGGGTCCTCTGACCTGGGCGCTGCACATCTTCCCCGCCCTGTGTCAAAAAAGCTATTAATTCCTTGTTTGACAGAGAACACTCCTCCCACCCCCACCCACCCTCTACCAGCACTTTTTCCCGGTTACCTTCACTTCACAGGTGTTCCCCAGATGCCCCTGTGTTCTGATTTACCCACGTTATAAGAAAGTGATAGCTGAAGGGGCCCTTCTCTAGGAAATTTACACATGCAAACATGCAGGGCTCCCCAACAATGCTGTCTGCAGTTAGGGGGGGTCATTTGGGGCACACTTTCATCCACTGACCACACTTCTCAGGAGCATGGCCTCTTTGAGTCCTGCTACAGGACAGTTTTCCTGGTCTCCAGGAGTCCTAGGTCCTGCTAGAAGCCTCCAGTGGGACTGCTGTGACTGCCCGGCAGAGGAACCCGGGGTGAGGCTGCCAGAAACCTTGGTAAGGGGCCTCCTAGGGTGGGTACAAGCCACTCACTGATGACTCCTCTGTCTTTAAAAAACTTCCAGAAAAACAAAAGGACAAGAAAGAGATCCAGGGGAATCCTTCCCTGCCCCTCCAGCCACTACTTCCTCTCCTGTGGGCCCCTCGAAGCCCAGCTGAAGGGACAGATCTGAGGGAGGACTAATTTCCTTGCCTCTCGTCTCCTTAGCTGCATGATTCGCAACCAGGGGCAGATTGATGCCTGGAGAGATTTTTGGTTGTCGTGATGAAAACCAGGCAGGACCCTGCAGGGTCCCCCGCGTACAAATCCTTTTTGTGTCCCCCGTTCCTTTCGTGTAGGAAATAGGCTTCATTCAGCCTCCTAGATTACTTCCCTGAGTTCCAAAGAGCAGATTCGAACATTTGCTACTCAGAGAAGTGAGGAAATGCAGAAAGACAGGAGGAGGAGTCAAGAAACAATAGTGTAGCCTTGGGGCAGGGTCTTGGTTCCTCCTGCAGGGACAGACAAGACTATCTTTGAGTTCTTCTGCAGGAACTAAGGCCCCCGCCCAGGGGGAGGATGGTAACTCAGGCCCTGTAACCTCACTAGCCCATTAGAAGAAAGTCACACACCCTGCAGCCCTCACCCCAAATTTTGCATGTAAATCACTCCACCCCAAAAACCATCAAGGAGTTTGGAGGGTTTGAGTACAAGCCACCCGTCCTCCTTGCTCGGTCCTGCAGTAAACTTTTCTCTGCTCCAAACTCTGCTCCAAACTCCTTCAGTTTGGCCTCACTGTGTGCTGGGCACAGGAACTCATGTTCGGTGACAGCAGCTGTGGCGGAGGTGCTGCGGCATCTGGTGGGTGAGGGTGGGGGTGCTGCCTGCCCCCCTACAGCGTGCAGGACGGCCCCACGAGGCTGGGGGTGCTGCTTCCACCCCTACAGCGTGCAGGACGGCCCCACAAAAAGAGGATTACCTGGCCCCAGACGTCACAGGGCCACGGCTGAGAAACCCAGAAGTAGCCAGATCCCGCCTCTTTTTAGCAGAAGTGGAGACAAGGCTGCCCAGGATCCCAGAGAACCCCCAGCCACAAACAGAAGCCCTTCTGGCTCTGGAAAGAGAAACTCAGGTGGTCACTGCCACCTGGGGGCCGCCGGAGGGGTGTGAAGTCCTGGAAAGGCCTCTCCACCCGTCTGGCTGGACCTCCCCAGAACCCCCAGCTCTGGTTCTTCCCAGGGCCTCAGGACAGCTCCCCTGGGGCACTGTCCCCCCTGCCTGCCCCTGCCCCGCCCATGCTCAGAGGGTAAAGTGGGGGAGAGGTACTCACCACCCCCATGAGCGCCACCCCAGAGCCCACGTTGATGATTGTGGGGATGATGCTGAACTTCCCTGCCTGGAGCACAGAGAGACAAGGTGGGGTGAGGTGGACAGCAGGATCCCAGGGACTCCACCAGAGAAGCCCGGGGTCCCTCCTAGCACCCCACCCACCCAGGACGTGCCTGCCCAGCCTCAGAACACACGCACCTTGCCATTCACCATCACATCAAAGCGGATCCCGTAGGCCTTAAACAGCGTGCGGAACTCCACTCCAGCGGTGTCTCGGTAATACTTGGCAAACCTGGGGGAGACAAGGCTGGGGAGACCTCGGCCTGCCTGGGCCTCCCAAATGTCTGGCATCACAGGCTCAGCTGCCTTGGAGACTTATAACCCCCCATCCCGGGACCCTGGCTCTCAGCAGCTCCCGGGACAGGCTGGAGACGCCCTTGCTGATACGATGCTAAAGATTTGTGTTCAGGCCTTTGAAGTCCTTGCCAGACATTCCCCAAGAGACAAGGGCTTTCCCACTACTGCTGGGCCAAGCTGGGGCCACCAAGGCAGTGGTCGATCTGACCCAGCTGCGCAGCCCAGCCTCACCTTCAGGGCAAGTACAGCCTGCGCTTCTCTCCTCTCCCAGAGGCCCCCTGGCTGCCTCCCACGCCCGCCCCCAGGAGGGAGTGTCATAGCGCTGGCACCCAGGAAAGGTCACAAGGTGGCAGGCCTCATCCCAATTACCTGAAATTGTACCCAGAAGAGACAGAGTTTTCTGAAAATCTGTTGTCCAGACGGCTAAAGTGATACTGCGGGTTGCATTCAGAGGGAGCTCTGTCAAGATCACAGTTCCACTCAATCTGAATTCCTATCACACCGCCCTTGATGCAAAAGAGACAAAAATCAGCTCACAGAACTTTCTAGAGATGATCAGAAATCACAGACCCATTCTTCGTGGGTCGCTGGACTAGACCGGGGAAGTGCTCAGATGAGAGGGAGGCCCGGCTAGAGCATCTTCCAGGAGGAAGGCGAGAGGGCCGAGGTTCTAGCCCCACCCCGGCCCCACCCTGGGGTGGCTGAGCAGAGCGCGTGGCTGACAGCCCATATCCTCTTGCTTGGTGCTTCAGGGGAGATGGGGACGACCAGGGTGAATGTGTGCTGTGGGACAGGCACCCAACACCAGCGCCAACATGCCAGTGAGGCTCCTGGCTCAGTTTCAGCTGATTCCCAGAGAACTAAGAACCAGACAGCGCAGCCAGCTGTGCGTCACAGTGAGTCCTAGACAGTGAGTCCCCAGGCAGGTGACTTGGTAGGCCCACCCCCTCCCATGGGTCCTCCTCCACACCCCCTCCTCATTGCAGAGCCCAAGTCCAGAGCCCTCCGACCCCCTGAGCACACACCACCCACCTGCAAAGCTATCTCCTGGAAGTTGCTCCCCGTCCAGCTGACCACGGACCCCAGTCGGAAGATGGGGCAGTAGGGGTCCTTGGGGCCAAATTTACATGACTTGAGGAAAGCTCTGTCTTTGGTGTCCAGCACACTGGTCCTGGGTAGAGGCCAGTGAAATGAAGGTGAGACTGGCTGTTCTCAAGCCAGAAACTGGGCCCAACCCAGGAATCACTGGCCCCTCGGCTGGCCGAGATGGAGCCCCTGACTTTAGCCCCTAATCAAGTCCTGGTACTTTCCCCACCCCCAACATCCTCCTGCAAAAAAGGACAGAGCCCCACCGCCACACAGGGGAAAGGGTAAAGGGTGCCCCGCATCACCCAGTGGTTCACACATGGCCTCACGTACTTGGAGAAGTTGAATTTGGGGAAGCGAATGAAGTTCTTTATGTAAACGGTGAAGTCTTCAGCCTTGCCCAGGAGTGGCTTCCTGAAAACCAAGGCAGGAGAGCATGTTTGGAGGCCCCGCCCCACCCCACCCCCCAGGCCTCCCGGGGCCTGTGCTAAGGCTGAAGCCCACCTGCTCCCTTGATCCCCTGGAGCCTTTGCCAAGGACAGTTAGTTTGACCATGTCGGGGTGGTCCTCAGGCCTTTGTCGGGTGTCTTGCCCCCCCCCCCAGAATGAGGATCCCAAGTGGACAGGTTCCCTTGGGACCTGCGCTGCCTGGGACTGGGTATATCCTCAGGGTCCGGAGGCCACAGCCACTCACGCTGGCCTGGACTTTGTCTCCACCGGGCACCAGGCGAAGATCTCACAGGTGCCCTTTGGTGCAGCCTCAGCCCTCAGGCAGCGGCCAGTCCTCACTCCTGCAGGGGTGGACAAGGACGATGCCGGGAACCTCCCGGCTCCAGCCCCCCGCTGCCCCCCAGCCCTGGCCCCTCCAGGCCTCACCGTTTCCAGCCACAACAGGCTCCCCTGGAGGGCAGTCACTGTCCTCCTTGCACGAGGCGTCCGGAATGCTTTCACTCTGCCAGGAGGGAGAGGGCGTCTGGGTGGGGCCCCTGCAGGTCTCAGAGCTGGGTCCCACCCCAGGAGCTAGGACAGGGGTTCCTCCCCAGCCTGGGCCACGCTCCCCTTGAGAACCTGCTTCTCCCCCGATCAATGCAGGTACGAGCAGGTGCACACATCCCCCGCGGCCCTTGGAGGGGCAGACACCCCTGCTTCAGGCAGCCCATCCCACCCCCGCCCAGGTCTCTCCACCGATCACACCTCAGCACAGGTTTCCTGCCGCTGGTTGGGGGTCACGATCAGGTTGGTGACTACAAAGAAGACGTTCTCTCCCTGAGGAACCAAAGTGGGGTTGAGGAAGGGTCCCCTCTGCCCTCTGGGGACCTTTCCTCCCAGGGCTGCCTGGCAGGCAGTGGGGTCTCTGCATGGGTTTTGCAGACACTGGGGCCACAAGATCAGTGGATCCCACCCACGTGCCCACTGACCTCAGAGTCCCTGAGTAGGTGTCCTCTGATGGCTGTCTTCCAGGCCCGCCACCCCAAACCATTCTGACTGCAGCCCCAAGCTCAGGTCCAGGAGAAGGGGCAGCGATGGGATGGCCTGGCTGGGCCCAAGGAACCACTCCCAGGGTGATGGCCAATATAAGAGTAGGGCTTTCTGTACCAGGCCACCCAACTCACACTGACCTGGAAGTTCTCTGGGTCACATTTGGTCTCAACAGGCTCAGGGTTTGTTGGGAACAAAGCAGCCCCCAGTCAGGGAGGGCAGGGGTCTGGGGTAGAGGGAAGGATCAGGGCAGAGTCTCTCCCTGCAGTGACTGGAGGTCCCTGGGTCCCACAGCTGCCCACGTGGCACACCCCTAGCCAGACCCTCCCGCCCGGCTGGGTGGGGCTCAGACCTGAGGTGGTATGACATAGTCTGCCACATCCCAGAGCCGCTCCCCCAGCTCTGAGGTGTTGGTAAAAGTCACGCCCTTGACTTTGGTGATGATGCTGCTCTGTAGTGACGTGTCGGTATCCTGGTAACATTTCTTCACCAGGAACACCCAGCTGCAGGAAGAGGGGACAGGTGGCCATCAGCCTTGTTGCTGCCCTCAAGAAGTTCCCCCAGGCCCCCAGGGTGCAAGGGGAGCGGCATGGGGCCCCACCTTTCCCACCAGCTCCCAGGCCGCAGTCACAACTCCCACTGCTGCCTGAAAGCCAGACCTGCGAGCAGCAGAGGTGACCAGCAACTCCAGAGCCAGAGGCTGCTGCTTTCAAGAGCCAAGGCCCTGCAGCTGGGCAAGCCTGGGCTGAAACTTGTTCACCCACACCGACCATGTGACCTCAGGCAAGCCAGTGAGCTCTGGGGGTCAACACAGGGTTAGCTGCGCCACCTGCCAGGGGGGTGAAGATGGTCAAAGGACACAGTGTATAACCTGAAACTGTTCATGAGACTCAGACAGACCAAAACTGAGGGGCATTCTACCAAATTCTAGTGTGGAATCCTGTACCTTCTGACACCCAAAATACAAGCAACAAAAGACAAAACAGGTAAGTTGGATATGATTAAAATTAAGAATTTTTTTTGTGCACCAGAGGATACTATTGAGAAAGTGAAAACCCACAGAATGGGAGAAAATATTTGTGTGTCACATAACCACTAAAGGTCCAGTACCCAGAATATACAAAGACACCTTACAACTCAGCAATAAAAAAGAGAAAATAACCCAATTTAAATATGAGCCAAGGATTTGAATAGACATTTCTCCCAGAAAGATACACAAATGGCCAATAAGCACATAATAAGATGCTCAACATCTTTAGTCATTAGAATGCAAATCAAAACCATTATGAGGTAGTACTTCACACCCAATAAGATAGCTGTAATCAGAAAAATGGAAAAAACAAGTGTTGGTGAAGATGCAGAGAAACTGGTGCTTGCTGATGGAAATGTGAAAAAGTGCAGGTCGGTAATTGCTCAAAAAGTTACCACATGACCCCGCAATTCCACTCCTAAGTATATATCCAAGAGAACTGAAAACATGTCCACACAAAAACTCATACACGAATGTCCTTAGCAGCATTAGTCATAACAGCCAAAAAGTAGAAGCAGTGCAAATGTCCATCCACAGATGGACGCATAAACAAAATGTGGGACATGGATACAATGGGCTATTATTACTCAGTCATTAAAGGAATGGTTTACGGACACTGGCTACAACGTGGATAAGCCTTGAAAACATTATGCTAAGTGAAAGAAGCCAGACCAAAAAAAGGCGATACGTTGTAATGATTTGATTTATATGAAATGCCCAGAAAAAAGTAGATTGACTTAGTGGTTGCCAAGGTTTGGGGGGAGGGGAGAACTGCCACTGACTGTTGGATACAGGTTTCTTCTGGGGGTGATGGTTGTACAACATTATGAAGGTACTAAAAACCACTGAAATGTATCATTTTAAATGGCTAAGTGATGAATTACACGCTATGTGCATTTTACCTCAATTTAAAAATGGTTAAAAAAAATCCTGTACTCTTCAAAAACGTCAGTGTCATGAGAGACAAAGACACTCAGGAATGATTCCAGATCAAATGAGCTAAAAAAAAATTGTACTACCTTTAAAACTGTTTTGTGAGTATAAACTATGTCAAAATACAAAAAGTACTTTTTAAATGAGATAGAATGTGTAAATTGCTTAGCACAGCGAGCACCTGGCACATAACGCTCAGTGACTACAACAGCTTATTACTGATGTCCCTGTTAAAGTGAGACACTGTCCAGGTCAACCCCCCGTGGTAAAGGTGGGAAAACTAGGCTGGGAGAGGGCAGGAAGCCACCTTCCAGAGGTCATGCAGCAGTGCCCCTCCCAGGGTGTCAGTAAGCCAACCAGGATGCCTCCACCCTCATCTCTAGCGGCAGAACTGGAGTGTCCTGGGCTGTAGGCTGTCCCATCTCCAAGGACGTCTGATTGGGCTGTGACCCTTGAACCAACCAGGCGCTTTAGTAGGGACCCTCCGGGCCTGGACTGGACAGAAACATTCAGCAAATACTCGAGGGACAACATTCATTCGCTTGTTCATTCATTTCACACCTATTCCCTAAGCACTGAAGTGATGCCAGGCAGGCCCCGCCTTCACGGCGTCCCCAGAGTGGCAGAGAGTTAGCACAGACATTAAGCAAGTGACCCCCCAAATAAGCATGTAATTACACTGCGGGAATGCTGGGCGGGAGCCAGTGAGAACCGGGTGGGAAGGAGGAGTGGGCACCAACCAAGACGAAAGGGATGCCCGGCTGAGGAACCGTATCAACGAAAGGCCCTCAGGTGGGAGGCAGCCAGGCGCCTTCGGGATGAAGCTCCGGGAATGCCCCGCCTCCAGGTGGAGCCAGGTAAGATCACAGCGGCCCCGCAAGGAAGAGTGTCTGCTGCTCCCCAGTCAGGAAGCAGGAGGGACCCAACGGCGCATTTACTGGAGGAGTCAAAGAGATGCCTCTGCATAGCAGACATCTGGTGTCACTTCCTCTCCACCTGTCCCCTTCCTACTTGGGAGTGACGGCTGTGAACAGTGCCTGGCTGAAGCACCCCAAGGAGCTACCCCTCAGCTGATGGCTCCAGCTCCTGCTAGGGGGTGGGGGAGGCAGACAGGCGAGTTGGGAGCCAGGGAAGGGAGGTTTCCAGAACCCCCAGATACCAGAGATGCCAGCCACGAGTAGGGTGGGCTGACCAGAAGGGAGCTCTGGACATGCTCAGGAGTTGCCCCAGCTGGGAGCTTGGCTCTGAGCTCAGTGATTATAAATAAACTACCGAGTGCCTGGGCCAGCGCCGGCCAGGGCCCAGGGAGGCTCTCGAGACAGGGGCAGCCCAGCTCCCTGCATCCTTGCCCGCTTCCCAAAGCCCCAACACTGGGGGCCCTAGCTCTGGAGGAAGGTCCGGACCATGGGAAGCCTCGTAAATGGGGAAACTCAGGAGCCCCTGCCGCATCTCATCACCTCCAGAGCCAGTGCGGGGGTACAGGACTCCCTCTTGACCCCCTACCCTGACACCCAAGGGCACAAGCAGGGTCCGCAGCCACAGGGCACCCCAGGCGCGCGCACAGGCCCATTCCGAGCCCCCCGAGGCCACGGCTGCCGCCCCTATCCCCGCCCGGGCCCTCCCCCCGCCCCATCCCGGGAGCCCCGGAGAACTCACACCACCAGGTAGGTCAGGATGGAGAGCTGCAGCAGCCGGTAGAGCAGGCCCACCTTCTTGTTCTTGGCGATGACGTACTTCTCGGTCTTGTAGTCGAAGAGCGACTGGTAGAGCCCCTTCCAGCCCACCTGCCCCATGGCGCCGTCTC